CATGCTCAAATATTAATAATCTGTTCACTGATTTGTTAAAGTGAACATGGACATAAAGATGTTTTTATTTTGAGTTTTTGAAAGCAGCAGGATTTTGGATGTACCAGTTTCACTTATTTTCTTAATTATATGACAAACATAATCAAAAGCACCAGTTACATTTCCACATATGGTAGATCGCATCTTTGAGAGGGCAACAGATCTGCACAAGAAAATAAGAACCACAAGCTTATTTTAAAATAATGCTTGCCATGCATCACATCACCTTAGCAAGTAACACAAGCCCTCAAGAGCGAGGTAACCTGTCTCACCACGAGGATGTGATCATATCTGCTTCTCGCACTTGATATGATTTCACCTATTTGCTTTTGCTCATGATAACACTGTTATTTTTTGTCAGACGTACTTATTCTCAATTGTAAGACTGTCTACTGTCCTGAGCATCACTCAATCTAGCTCCAGTCATTGGGCCATCCTTATTGTTTAGCCTTAATGATTACCATAAGCAATGAATTTTGTGAGACTATGAAATAAACAGTACAGCTTAATATGAAATGATAGACATTTTATTTTGCCCATACAATATCAACTTTCACATCCTATAGCCCTACTTCACTTTAAAGTTTTCACCTTTTACTTTAAAGTTTTAAACTTATGGGTGTAAATATTTAGATATAAAAAAATTAATCTTTGCTCTACAAATAATGTCCAGGGCTACACAATATATCGTTACAGCATTGATATCGCAATGTGTGTGTCTGCAATATTCACATCGCAGGATATGCAATATTCAGTTGGAATTATAGTTGTTCAACGATTGAGAATACATGAGAATTGTGGAGTTGTTGCGAAGTATAACCATAACAGAGTGAAACTTTATAATTGGCATGTTTTAAAGGCGTTTCAAGAGAGTGTAAAGCATTTGGAGATGATGACCTACAACATTTGTAATGAAGAGTAATGATAATTGCAATTAGTTTATTATTTTATGTGTACAATATTCACACCCTTAGAATATCACCCTAATCAGTCTAAATGAATGACCACTCCTCCCCCAAATAGAGCAATTTAAAGCCATCTGCCGATATTGTATTCGAATCGCAATATATAATGACGAAAACCAAAATATTGCAATGTCAGATTTTTCCAATATCGTACAGCCCTAGTCCAGGGTGTCGGTTTATTGTTTCTTCTATGTGGTGATGCTGATTGGCCAAATGACATCAGTGAGGCAAATGTTTCTGACAAATCCTGGGTTTAGCAGGATGTGCGAGTGTCATGATTTCTGTATGCTCTCCTGTGCTGAATATTTAGCTTTTGCTCAGCATTTCAGCATAAAATTTAAGTGCCAGTGTTTGATCCTTTTTGAATGCAACTTCGGTTCCTGTTGAAGTTATCCTCTTTGTCAATTGCTTTTGATTTAGCTTATAGCTAGAGTTAGAGCTGCACAATTAATCGTTAAAAGATCGCGATCTCGATTCGACCCCCTAGACCAGGTGTGGGCAAACTTGATCCTGGAGGGCCAGTGTCCTGCATAGTTTAACTCCAACCCTATTCAAACAGACCTCCCTATAGAGTTCAAGTGATCTTGAAGACACTGATTAGTTTGTTCAGGTGTGTTTGACTAGTGTTGAAACAAAACTCTGCAGGGACACCGGCCCTCGAGGATCAAGTTTGCCCATCTCTGCCCTAGACGATCTTAATCCAGCATTTCTACGATTCTGCCAATCATATTTTCAAGTTCAGGAGAGAAGAAAAGGCGGCTGCACAAGTCGTTCTTCACATACGTTGCTCAGTGACATTGAGACCTCCAAATGATGTTGAATGAGTCACATACTGTATTTATAAGGTATGATTTACCTAAAAATGTAATTTTTGTCTTCATATAATGATGTTTTCGGGGCCGGGAAATCGCGTGACGTGAGCTGCTGACCGTGAGCTGTTAACACAGAGAGGGCGCGCTCACGCTCAACTTAATGATAGACGCGCACGCATCTTTAGTGAACAGAACCTGCATATGTTGCGAGTAACAGGTAATAGAGTTGTAAATAATATTCAGTTTTTGGCACAGAGTGATCGTTTGGGAGGCGCGCGAAGTATGAACAAGCACTTAGCTGTCAAAATAAAACCAAAAGTGTGCACTTCATTTAAATATCGCATTTTAGAGTTATGATTACGACAAGATGTTTTTTCTTTCCTAGCGAACACACAGTTGTGCATGAAAATAAATGTTTTCAATGTCAGTATACCTACTCTAGCCTATATATTGTTGAATATAATCTGATAATGGCAAATGTCTGATATTACCAGTGAATAAAATGGTCTAATATGACAAATTGCAAGCATATATCTCAAACATAATAACTTGACATCAGAATTATTATAAGTAGAATAGAATTATTTATAGAACAGTAGATCTACACATAATATTATCGACATAGTGCCATATGTTTGTTTTTACCATACATTTTTTTTACATCTACAGAATCGTTAGAGAATCGTGATCTTTATTTTAAGCAAAAAAATCGCGATTCTCATTTTAGCCAGAATCGTGCAGCTCTAGCTAGTGTTTATAGCATGAATAGAAACATAAGAATGAGAAACAGGTTAAACCTGATGAAAGAGACAAAGTATAAAAGTGAAGTGTGGATATATCAGACAATAGGTCTGCTGTATCTCCTCCTGATTAAGCCATGTTCTTGCTCAGGCTCTGACAGATAAGCATTTGGAAGTGTGCATGGAAAATCCAATCTATGCACACTGAAGAGAAGAGCAACGGCCAGATCTGGTCATGGAGATTCCTGCTGACTGATTTGGTTATGCAAACAGACTCTTGTTTTTGGTAGATGAGACGGAGCTTTTGGCCATGTGCAGATGCCTCCTGACCTATGATCTCAAACTTAAATAAGCACCCTTGACCTTTTGTCCTAAAATAAATAAAGCATTAGATATAGACAACAAATATTTATTTTGCGAATTAGAAAAATGGTAATGCATGCATTGTGTGGAACAGTTTAGTATTTGCTGTAATGTATTTTGAATAAAACAAGAGAAGTGTTTGTGGGGTAAAAGAGATGTTTTTGAGTTTTTATTTTGATAATGAAAAGCGTTACAGTAAATCTTAAGCCCAAGGATTTCTTTAATACAGACAAAAGTGGATGGAAATGCAAAAAATTAGGGCTGTGCATTTAGGCCATGTTTAAACCTGGTATGAAGATTATCATCTTGGTTGTTAGCGATGTGCCATTTACGGTCGTTCATAATTTCTGTATACGTTTTTTTCATGATAAAAGATGCCATATCGTAATAATGATAAAGCAATGTGATGTATGTCATGATTCGATTCTCTTGTCAGCACAAACCTCTTGTCCGCACAAACCTGCTGCACACCGAAAAAAACAGTCTTAGTCAAGAGCAAGAGCAGCATGTTAACCTCTGATGAAAATTTAGTACCTAAAATAGGGACTTCAGCTGCGTTCCATTTTTGCTCAACAAATTTGAATAAAACATTAATGTATATGTTAAAACTGTAAAACGTATTATCAAATCTAGGAGATCTTTTTTGTGTACTCAATGCACAAAATATTCAAAAAGCATGTTTAATTGTTTTAATACTTTCAATGAGTACGTGTCAAAAGTCATGAGAGATGGATGCTGTCCAGCCACAGATAGCACCTGCACAGAGTTTAAGGTCAACAGGTGCAATTTCACACAAGATAACTATGAGTCAGCAAATGCTGTGCACAAGTCCAGGATTCCCTAAGATGACATGTTAAGAGATGTGCATTATTCTGTTTTACGCTAAAATGTATTAAGCATTTATTATTGCATTGCAAGTTTTATTGCATGACCAGTACTTTTTAAAGATAATTTTAAAATAAAATTCAAGCTCTGTGTTATTGAATGTGCAGTGGATGAGAATAATGCACCACTCATTCGAGTGACTTCCTATATGTTACTCAAATGCCAACTTCGTTAGATTCATGCATGCCAAAACTGTGTAAATTGATGGGCTCTGTACAATAGGTTTGCAGTGTGAATGCAGCCTTTTAGACCGACTGCTTCTGTCATTAAGCAAGAAAAAGTGAAAACTTGCTTTCTTAGTCCTCTTTAATATTTGTTTTGACTTTAACAAATTATTGAACAGATTATTAATAACGGTTCAAAGAACATTTTGCTGAGCTCAGTGAAAAGGTTTGTATGTAGATCTACAATGAAAAATGTTATACAATTATAGCCATATGGCTGCGGTGAGTCGACAATACTGTCTAAAATGAAACTATACTTCTCTTCTGATCAGAAAGCAATAAACACAATTATTCAATATAGTGCAAAATTGTTTGATTTTAGCAAAAACAAATGTAACCTTTTTGATTATTACTTTTGTAATGATGATCAGACCTGAAGCCACACTGCTTTTATCTGGACAAAACATAGAGAAACCCCTCCACCACGCAGAAACATTTACAGTCCTCCTCCTTCTGTCTAAAAGGACCTTAATGCATCCTTGTTTCTTCTGTGTGTAGATAAATCAAATTTCATTTGCTTTTGTCCATTTATTTTGATATCCATTTTGCGGTAGTCCTTCGTATAATTTCATGGACCTGAAGTCACTATCAAAATTGTCCTGTGCACTGTTGCATCGGGTCTTAAGTTTGAAATAATTTAGGTCTCATCATTATATACATTATATCATTATATGCTAAAAGATAAGGGGATTGTACTTTAAAAAGAAAAAAAAAAACATGTTTTGTTGGTTTTTAGGAAACTGACACTTTTCTGGGAAATCGAGCAGAGAATTTTCATGACAATCCTAAGAAACAAAGCATGTTTCCTTCATGAGAAATAGCTGCCAATCGGTCGCACATTGTGACCTTGGACCTTTAAAAAATAATCTTGGTCTGGTTTGGTCATGAAAAGAGTTTGTACTCCAGAGACCTTCAGAATGTTTGGCTCTTGAAATGTTCTGATGTTTTTTTTCTGTTTCCCCTTTTCCTCAGGTGGTTTGGCTGCACAGTCATGCCAATGTTGAGCCCGTGATTGAGTAGCTGTGCTCCAGGCCAGCAAAAGGTCACAGCATGTCCAGTTCGGGCTTTCCCCCCAGCCAGGGGTCCTTCAGCAGCGAACAGAGCCGTTACCCCCCACACTCAGTGCAGTACACCTTCAGCTCCACACGCCACCCGCAGGTCAGAACCACGTGCACCACCTTACAATGTCAACAAACCACATAACATAAATGCTGCGCAAGTGAAACTGTAACTGCAACTTTCCTGTTTCTGTGTCAGATTTTTGACTTATTCAGTTTTGCAGACAGAGCAGATCCTGAATTACCAGTCTAGGGCTGGGTGACAAGACTGTATTATCATATATCAACAATGTCTCTTAATCATGGTGATGTTGATTACAACATTCAATTTTCAAATAAAATAGGAGATTGAAGGGAAAATATAATAAGGTTAGCAAATAGATTTTTTTTTTTATAAATATACGTTAAAGCTTGTAAGTTTTCACATAACGAAGCATGTTATTTTAGGAAAATGGAATAGAAGTATTAATATAAAAAATATATATTATAATATTAAAAACGAAACTGAGAAAATCTGGTAAGAAGTACTAAAATGTCAAACTCCAAAAAGAGATGCATGTAATTGTAAATGTTGAATTTATTATATTCAGGAAACAATTTTAAGGAATGCACTTATATCAGACTTGCATTTAGTTAAGTGACTTATTAACATTAAATGGACCTTTTCACAAGACTGTTATGACATATTTAACGCTAATCAGCATAATAAATCCTTAAAAGTTTTTAATATTTAGATTTTTAAAAAACTTATGAGCATATATATTTGTGCATTATATAATTTCATTATATTGGATTGTATTATATATTTGTTTTATATACAAATTAGAAAACAATTTACCTCTTATTCAAGGTGTTTCTAATGCAGCATCTATGGACAACACAGGCACAGATGACAACAAGAGCATTTAGAGGTTTCCGCTGTACTTCAGTGTCAGTGAAAGACTGTTGTATTAAACTCATAAGCAGTCAATTGTGAATAGTTGTCTGCTTTTTAGTTGGAGCATTTTAATTACTCGTGCTCACCTCTCTTGCCGTAGCGTGCTACTGCGATATAGCGCATATGAGATAAATTACGTCAGTTTGTAACAACCAGTTATGATCTTGAACTGAACTTATACTGAATCGTTTGCATTGCGGTGCATTGAAGAAACAATTTTACATGCCTAATGGAGAGGGAAATAATAATGTTTTTAATAAAGTTTTTACATCAGATACACACGCTGTTTTGTTCTCTTTTCCCAGTTAAAGAGTCACTTTAATGGATTTTGGAAGAAGTTGATGAATTGACATGTAAATCCAGCAGGTCACATCCCTCCACAAAAATAGCAGTGGCCATCTCCTCCAATCTCCGCCAATCATAGATTAAGTAATATATCCATATTACGATGTTTAAATGACAATATACATGTTCATACACGTATTTGAGAATCAGAATATTAGAAATGTCACAATATGATTAGGACATTTGTCAACATTTGCAGAAAGGGGAAGAAGGAAACAAATCTATATACATAAATCGTCTGCCTGTTGTGTGCCACATGATAAACTTGATGCATCACAAGATGATGTGTGAAAGTGTTAATGATTATGTGATGGTGGGGCAGACCAAGGTGATTTGCGTAGAGCGCCAGTTGTGTTTGTGCTGGCCGCGCATCCTCCAAAAAGATAAGAATTAATCTTAACTGCTGCCCATTGCGCTTCGCTAGAGGAGAGGTTTTTGGTCTTTCTGAGGGGCTCACCCAGTGTGTGTGTGTGCGCATGCGTGCGTGTGTGTGTGTTTTAATTGATTAATTAATAGTTTTTTTTCTTTCTCCAAATGAATCTTTTCAGCAATTGTGCTTGGTTCTTTTTTATATTTAATATGAACTTAAGCATGAGTGTGGCAGAGGTGGGGCAAAGTAGTCAGTATAATTGCATGTTGAGATATTTTTAAGGCAATTATCGATAAATTATTTTAAACCCGTCACCCAGTCCTACAGCACTTGATTTGCAGTTTTAGATTTGCTATTGTCCAAGCTGTAATTGTAAATATCAACTTATTTATATTTTTTAAACCCACATTATTTTTCATAATGTCAATATCACACTTTCTCTTTTTCTCAGCCCTTGTTTCTTTGTGAACATTGAAGTACATGTGACAAATGAATCAACTTTTTTCCAAACAGACAGAGCCAGGCCAAACCCATTTAATAGTTCACCTCTGCATAGCAAGTGCTGCGTCATGGGGCGTTCACACATACAAAGATTTTATGGCTCCTAGAGCTTGAATGTATTATTGGTCAAAGTAAGCATTTCTACTGCTGAATGATCTCATTTTACTGATGGGCTCCATAACCGTAACTGCTCATAATCTTTGAAAATATGACCACAAATGGGATTTGCTGCTGGTTTCCATTGCATTTTAGCTGACTCTGCCTTGGACTCCACAGAATAGCTAGTTGTTATATCTGATAAGACAAAATAGAGTATTATAACATTTGTATGCTTAAATAGCAAAATCAAATTATCCTTGGACTAATACCAGGACACATTATCTATGTATTTTCAAAATATATGTGTGAAAGAGGCTACAAAGTGAGCCTCTGCTTTTCTGTTGTGCGTATGTGTGCGACTTTATGTGCCTTTATTAAATATGGTTATACAACACATTCAAATTTTTAGCATTTACTAGAGCTTCTGAGAATACTTGACTACAGTTTTTTTGTAGCTGTAGTAATTTTGATTTTGGTAAAGCAAATAGTCGGGCTATTAATTGAAAAAAAGATTGCCATCTCTATTTGCCCCTACACAATCTTAATTTTTTTTTTTTTTTTAATTTATTTTTAAATTTTTTTTTTTTTTACAATTTTTTAGGGGTTTTTAACCTTTAATAGACATATTAGTGCAGAGAATTGACAAGAAATAGTTGGGAGCAGAGAAAGGGGAGGGGTTGGCAAAGGACCTTGAGCTAGGAATCGTACTCGGGTTGCCGTGAGCACCATGGTGCTATATGTCGGCGCACTTAACCACAAGGCTAATGGCGCCGACCAAAATCTTAATTTAGCTTTTATATACATTGCTCAGCAACATGGACACCTCCAAATGGCATACACATACTGTATTCATAAAGTATAATTCACTCAAAAATGTAATTTCTGTCTTAATGTAATGATGTATTCACAACCATAAAATCAAGCATGAGCTAACCCACTTTGTTTACTACCGAGAGGACACTCGTGCCTGCCAATGTAGTCTACTGTAGTGAACAGAAGACTACATAGGCTGTGAATTACGGGTTATAAAGTAGAAATGACATTCAGTTTGTTGCACAGGGTTAGGGTAAGCGGTCGTTTGTGAGCTGCGCGCGAAGTATGATTTGCATGTGTCTGTGTTGTTTTTGTTGTTGTTGTTGTTGTTTTTTCCTCAGTGTCGACAGTCATGACATGAACCACCTTTAGTAGTGAAACCAGCGCACACATCATTTAAACAATCATATCACATTCATAATTACGACAAGCATTAGATATGTTTTTTCTTTCATAGTGAACAAAGTGCATAAAAATAAATGTTTATAGTAAATGTTTATAATAATATAATGCAAGAGGGAATCTGATAATGACAAATGTCTCATTTTATCAGTGAAAAAGTGGTGTAATAATGTTGTCAATGACCAGCATGTCTCAAACACAATAATTAAAGTCCACCATTCAAAGTCTCTACACAATTTAGCATTTTAACCAAAAGTAAACCTACACATAGGCCTAATATTATTGTTGTTTTACCATATGTTTTAGAAAATCAGTAATAATAGCCTGCTCATATCATCCTTATAAACCTACATCTACAGAATAGTGAAAAAATCCTGACCTTGATTTTAAACAAAAAATAAAAAACAAAAATGTGCTTCTCATTTTAAACAGAATCGTGCTGCCCTAACAAATAGTATAATTGATTCTGTTGAAAAGAACTGAATGGAGAATAATGTAATGTATAAAAATAAAGTAATGTGATATTTCATAGCAAAATCTATTTTTTTTTTGTCAATGGAACATTTAACAGTAAAGCAGATATCTTTACACTAGCTTCTCCTTTATATTCTGTCTCTCAACAGCAGTATCACTTAAGAGATCTGATCTAATTTCCTCCATTAACTTCATTATCTTTAATAGTGGTTGCATCACTTTAATTGGCATAAACCTAAATGCATCTCCAACCATTTCTGCTAAGATTACTGTTAAAGTTGCCACCTTTATTTATTATATATATATAATCAGTGACTTTTGTTGTTTTGTGTACTTCTCTTGCTTCCCCAACATCTTTACTGTCTCAGACAAAAGGAAGCCAGAAATGCCTGGACCTCAACATTATAAATCAATTTGGTTGTCACTGTAGTGCATTTCTTAGAGCCAGAGAAGCAGAAGTAAACAGAACCCAGCTGTTCCGTCTCTTCTCTCTGCGTTTTCTTCTTTTTAATTCACATTACTCAATTATTTACACATTTCCTGTTTCCAGACATGGACATGGTCATGTTTGTTCTGAAGATGTTAGCAGTTTCGAAGCATCTCTAGCACAGATGGTCATGAAGTGTCTTCTAGAGGAAATCTGATGTCTGTCTATTTCAGTGGGGTGACCTAATGCCAGGCGATCTTGCAGTAATCCTGCTGTACCGCTGCCAGCTCAGACAGCTGTGATAGCGTTGTCAACATTAAACCATACAAAATTATGCATGAGATCAGTATTCATTGTTTAACATTAAACTGTGACCATGTTTTTCATGTATTCAGACAAGATCCAAATGAAAGAAACTCTCTGCTCATTGGTTTAACAGACCTAAAAATCTATGTAGATTATGAATTACACAAAGAGGGTGAGCATGAAATAGATGATAACCTGATATACAGAACTGAGAGTCACTGCTTGCTGAAAAGATGATTAGTCATTGTTCATTGTCTGAGTTATGGGGTTGTGCACAGTATTGTCATAAATAGCTACTCACTTTAATTAGTGGCTTTATTGTGAGGTTAAGACCTAAAGTCACTATAGTGATTGATTTAAACTCACTGCTGCTTTGCCCTTAGATTGTAATATATTTAGATTTGTTAAAGATGATTGACTAGTCATTCATTAGTGACTTATGTATTAGTGTTAAATTAAATATGATAATTTATGTTACAAAATGTACAGCAGGGAAAATAAGTATTATTGTAATAGTTCTAAAGGAGCCTCTAGGAGGCCTTTTATTGGTGATAAAAGATGGCTCCCATATGGAGAAAGAAGTCGCATAACTAAAGGATTTCATTGGTTAATACCAACATCTGGGAAAAATTTCAACGGCACATTTAGGAATATGTATTATGAAAAAAAATTGTGACGTTTTCAATACTTATTTTCTTCGCTGTATGTATTTTTTGAAAAAGCTGTTGTTTGTATTTTTTTAAAGCAAAGAATCATGAAATGCATCATGGTTTCCTCAAATTAGAAAACTTTTTTTTTTTAATGTGTAAAAAAACAGAAAGCTTTGATTAATTTTTCTTTTTTAACCTGATATCAAAGAACAAGCAAACTAGCAGAAAAATAGTAGTTATCGCCGTGTTGCTGCATCTAGTCCTATCTGCATCGGCGCATCGGCCTACGGCAGCTGGATTAGTCCAAAAGGCGCAGTAATTTTTGCGGTTGGACTTGTTTTAGTACGGATCATATTCTCACCACAAACGAACCGCTCCAGGGTTTGTTTGAAAGCATTCTGAGACCACCTCTTCAAGCAGGTCTTGGTACGCTTATAGCAGGTCGCACACCAGAAGCGCCGCGCCACGCAGCACCATGCATTTTAGAATACTAAACTTAGGTTTCTATCAGGATACACACACCGGTGCCGCAAGCCGGCGGCTGTCGACGGCACCCGACCACGACTCAGGACGCAGTTCATTTTTCAGCCGCGCCACAGAGCGCCATCTGATTAGTTTCATGTTAAATATCATGCAAATGTGAGCGTATGGTGTGCGATACTTTAAACTGTCATGTGCACGCCGTGTCGCAGCACCGAGCGGCGCTTCTGGTGTGTGACCTGCTTATTTGGTCCGCTTTTGGTGCGCACTCGAGTATGATTGCTGCATTCTCACCTGCCCAAATGAACTGCACCAAAAGGAAAAACGAACTCGTGCGATTCAATCGAACTAAATGAGGCAGGTGTGTAAGCACTCTTAAGGCTGATTTATACTTCTGCGTCAAACACCGGCGTATGCTACGGCGCTGACGCATAGCCCTTCGCCGTCGCCGTCACTGACGTGCACCTCTCAAAAAATGTAACTACGCGTCGCAACGACGCGTAGCGTAAGCTCTGTGATTGGTCGACTTGGTAGCGCTGACGAGTCTGGGCGGGACCGAGAGCCGCGCGAATGGCGCGAGCGATTGTTTACAAGTGTGGAGTCCCGTGAAGGAGCTCCGGATGGAAAGTTTTGTTTTGTGTTTACCTCATAGTTAAAGTTGCTGCACGTTCGCCGGTTCCTGCCTCAAAATGAGCGAGTTTGAGCCACTTGTACATCCCGGAAGTGTTCAGGAAAAGCTAAAAACCAGAGAAGAAACTCGACACAGAGGAACATTTACACCTAACTGCCAACTAGCGTTTCGGAAGTGTTAATACAGACCGACAGAGACAGCGCAGAAGTATAAATGCACAGCCACGCGCGTTGCATGCGCCGTGAGTTACGCCGGTCACTTGACGCAGAAGTATAAATCAGGCTTTACAGACTATTTTCAGAGTTCTTATCACTCACCACAAAGGGAGTCAATCCTGTAAATGTCACATAATCTTCTCCATACTGTTTGCAAATGTTTAAGAAATGCAACAAAATAACAAGCAGTTTCTTTGTGTTCCCTTTTGACTTGCGTTGTTAGCTTTAGTTTCGTCACTTCTATTTTTTTATTCTTCGATTCATAGCTGAACAGCCAATCAGAGTGCTCTCTTTCACTGATGGCTGACGCTGATTCTACATGTTGGATTTGACAAACTCTCTTTGACGTAAGGCGACCTGTGAAACATGGCAAACAAACTAGCTCAACGGATTTTTACTGACTGCCTAACACTAGCCATAGGCTGACCATCAGCTTTGTGTATCCCGGCCTTCACAGTGATATTTTTCCCCAAAATAAATGCAGCCTTAGTTAACTTGCTGATTTAACAGTAATGTGTTGTTAGGAAATGAGTTTGATCATGGTATGACCGATTAGGCAATAACATTATCTCTAATGATGTAGGGATTAAAGTAGTAGGGATTAGGCAAACCTCCTGTAGAAAAACTCTTATGCACCTGACACTTGATCTAAACTCCATTTTACAAGAACTCAATAAAGAAAATGTTTACTATAAATGTACCACAATCATGTTGCACTTCTTGCTTTAACCTTAAATACCTCTCGAACAATGTTCACCTTTAATACCTCTCTCACGTTATATCCTGCACAATGTCCAGTCTCATGTAATATTACTTGTATAGCCTGTCTTATGTGTATAGTTAAGTAATATATAGTATACGTTGGTTATGCATATGGTTTTTTTCTTATGTCCAATCTTGTGTTTATATTAATGATTAATTTATTTAGCACGGTTATCCTGTGAAACACAACATTTCGTTGCTTTGTATGTCCACACATGTAGAGGAATGACAATAAAGCTCGACTTGGCTGGAGTAATGTGATTGTGGAGGGATTCTGCCTCAATCATGGAACTAATTCTTGAGCTTGATTCTGTTAAAGAATGCCATTGACTTGATTTCATCAGAACTTTTAGATGAAATCAAAGAGTAAACCAGCCAATAACCTTGTTGCAGCACTTAACTTGTAGTGCAATTATGTTGTGAGTGACCTGAGTCTCTGCCTTTTCTGATACCATCTCACATCTCTCCCACTCTTAATTCTCTATTAAAAATATCTAAAAGCAAATCTTAAAGAATAGAAATGACACACAGTAGAGTTTGTCCCCTGAAGCATTGATTGTTGTTGACACCGTTTTACTAGAAGTGATGTAACACACAAACATCCTGAAACACCTCTGCTGCTTCATATACACACAAAGTCTGTTTTGTGTGTATATGGAGAAGTGGAGGTGTGTGTGTGTGTGAGGATGTGTGTGCGTGTTTATTTCAGATGAGATGTGTGTGCTGGTGTGCTTTAGGAGACCTAAATCTCTCGACCTCTGTCTTTCTCTCTCACAAACACACACACAGTCGTTGTCTTTCTGCCCACATATATCTTTAATGCCTTGAGCCCTCATCCATCAGGCTCTTGTGTTTTTGTTTTGCTCTATCTGATATGCATGTCTCTGGTTGTTTAGGAGTTCTCAGTATCAGACTACCGCAATCCCCTGCAGGACCAGCAGCGTCGCAGACCTTCACTACTGTCTGAATTCCACCCTGGGACCGAGAGGTGAAATTATCTGGAGATATGACATAGGGATGCTGTCCTCCTCATTTTAGTTCTGCTTCATTTTAAGTTAACGTATAATGAAAATGGGCCAGTTTTGTTTTTAAATCTGAGAGCTGATTATATCAACACATCTTCCAGAATAAAAAAAATGATTTGCTTTTGAATATTTTCTTTGGAGGCAGCTTGAAAATACTATGCACATTATCTGTGCATTATGTGTGTTAATTATGACAGTAAATTATTGACACTAAAAAATGTATGGTTTCTTTTCTTAAATTTTGCCCTGTCTAGAATGGCCTGAATATAATATTTAAATTATTTATATTTTATAATTCAATTGAATATTGAGGAGAAATTTATGACACAAAAACACTTTTAAACACTTGAGCCTAGAGCTGGGTGATAAGCACACTAGCGCATGTTACTTCACGTCAAAATGACAAGACATGCAAAAATGAGTGCCGTATAGCAGCAGTGAGGTGATTGTAAATAAAAAAAACAATGTAAGGATGTTGCCAGAGTGGCTTTTTGGTTTCTTTTATTGTGCATCCTAGCCACTAGCACCCCATCTGAAAGAGTTTTTTTTTTTTTTTTTTTTTTACATCGGGGGTAATGTACTCTTCCAATATCACAGTTTGTAGTGTTCAATATGTATTTGAATAATGATGGTTGCTTTCTTTTACTTAAAAAGCACCGATTTGATTATCATAATTTGTGTTGTTTACAGAGTTTGAGGTTTACTGTATCTTTATTATTCACATCTTACAGATGTTGATCAACATTTACCATTGAACACGCTTTGTAACATTTTATTTTTCAGGTTTAAGAATCTCTTTAACACTTATGTTTCTTTTATTATAAAGAGATCCGCTATTTTGGTTTTTGATTATTTAAACTATTTGCCTTAGTAATGTTAAAAAATAAATAAATCCTAATATACCTAAATGTATTGTTAAAAAAATTCTATAATTATCCATATTGAATGATATGAAACATGATATCGTGATAATTTACATTTTTTTTGCAATATCGCCCAGCCCTACCTGAGCCTCAAGAGTTTCTGTGTGTTGGCAGGTCTTATATGCTTCTACTAACAAGTCCTAAACAAATGCAGTTTTGGATGGCATTACCTATTTGGATTTTGAAATTTACATTGCACAGTGTTGCTTTTCTCAATTAGTTTATATGAAACATTAGTAATGTGTAAAGTAAACTTTATTATTACTCTAAAATTATAAAATTTGTCTGGAAGAGTTTTCTTACTACCAGTTTGCTGTGTGCGAACTCAGTGATAATTGTAATTAAAAAGTTCCTGTCCTTTCCTGTAGGCCACCGGAGCGCAGACATGGTTATGAGCAGCAGTTCCACGCCATCTCAGCTCAACAGGAGCAGGAGGCTCTCGAGAGCAAGCGTCCCCGCATAGAGAATGTGTCCGAAACACACTTTTCAAGATCTCAGCCCACCAGCATCATACTGCCCTCTCAACACACCCTACAGGACAGCATCAGGACCTCCGCAGATGTCAAGAAGGTGAGAAGTGTATAACCTAACCAGAATATTGGCTGGGCTCTAAGGTTACTTTTTAGTAGGAGCACTTGTGCACCTAATCAAAAAGATGTAGGAGCACAGTCAAAGATTTAGGCGCGCATATAATCTTTTTCTCTCTTTAAATGGCGCAATATCGTTGTGCTACATAACCTACAAAAGTATGGAGAGCATTTCTTATTATAAAAAATGAAGAAACCTAGCTTTAAATAAGCTTTGAATATTTTCAGTGTCAGACATGCTATAAACACACTGTCCTAAAAAACAAAAAAGCATGCACTAATTTTATATGCACATCAGGACTCATGCATGTGCACCTGTGTGGAGTCAAAGGCTGCATTTACACTGCATGGTTCAAGTGACTCAATTCCGAATTTTTTATTTATTTATTTTTTTGTTCTCCCATGTGGCACAGATAGGATATGGCCCATGTACGTGTAAGCAGGAAAAAAATCACATGGATTCCGATTTACTCAAATTAGATTCAGGCCTTGTTCTTATGTGGAAATTTATCCAATATGAATCGGAGCTGTGCCCTCGTGTCTGCAGTGTAAGCAGGTAGGTCAAATTTTCTCCCGTCAATGCAAGTCAAGTTTCATTAAAAACCATAGCGAATTACGTCAAGTCAGATGCTTTCATTTCAGCATAAATTTCAGCAGAGTTCTAAACCTTATATCTCATACCTAGGACTAAAAAGCTTTTATATTGTCATGTAGCACAAGTATTTAAGCATGTTAACAAGAGAGAGCACAATATTCATCTTGTAACCAGTATAAACTAATATCAAACATCACATGCATAAATCACGCCATTTCTATTACATTAAAATGCCTAGATTAAAAGAGGATGGCCAAATGAGAACTTTTGTGTCATAACTCTAGTAAAACAACTTGTCAAAAATAATTTAAAAAATTGAAACCCTACCAACTGATAAAATACAGGAACAGAGAAAAGAGTGCTCTTTTATTATCAGCTGTCAGTCAGCGCCTGCTCTTTTTCTTTTTTTTTTTCTGGTCATTGCGCCTTTGCCGTGTGCTGTGTAAATGCTGACAATCAGATACAAGTCGCTTTTAAAAGAATATGTAAGCCGGTCATCAAATAAATCGGATACAGTCAAAAAATCTGAGTTGACCATCGAGATCTCCAGTGTAAAAGCAGCAAAAATCTGTGTGTGAGACAGACGGGGCTCATTTAAGCGTTGTCAGAAGTGCTGCCTAAAGTTACCCTGAGTCTGAATTTGTGTTTTTGGCGGAGGTCATCTGACAGTTATTAAATTTGTTGCGCCAAAGTCATGGCCGTAGCTACAAAATGCAAACATCACTGTTGATGGGTAATGTATAGGTAAGAGAATTTGGGAGTTGTAGTTTTTAAATTTCCGATTAGGTCAGTTGCACACGTGCACCTTAATATATTTTCTTGGTTGCACACAGTAGGTTTTGATCGCAGCTGGGACTGAAATGGTCACACTGTAGAGCCCTGATTTGTGTGACACATTTAAACATTTCACTATTTTATAAAACAAAACAGGGTTCAGATTTAAATTTTATTTATTTATTTTTTGCTTCTGTTTCGCTTGTGTAAGGCTGTTTGAAGACTTGCACTTATCCTCACGCTCTCTCTCCTTTTCTGGGACAGGAAAGCCAGTTTGGTGTGAAGGTGGAGGCCTCGTCCCCAGGTGGAGTTCCACAGGTTGGTGAGGATGCAGATACTTCGCCCTCCAAACTCTCCAAGGAGGAGTTGATTCAGAGCATGGACCGCGTCGACCGTGAGATTGCCAAGGTCGAGCAGCAGATTTTCAAGCTGAAAAAGAAACAGGTGCGTGTCCTCGCTAAACTCACTTGTATTAGACTGAGACTGAAATGCTCTTACAGCTCAAAAAGTGCTTTCTTTAAGCTCTAAGCTGTTCATTTTGTAAATACAGAGCTTAAGTTGGTTTCAGGCACTAATTGTGTGGTGACATGATTGGTTTGTTTAAATAGCAACCAAAGCGGCTGACCTTGTCGCTTCCTCTCTCTTCATGTCCCAGGGTTCAGCCCTGTGTCACTGTTGTCTTACACTGGTGCTCACAAATTGCTTTCTTTGTTCAGTCTTTATCTGTAAGCCTTGTGGGAAATGTTGCCCTTCTGAGAGGCTTGTCACAACTCCCTTGTCTGTGCCAACTTTTCTTGCTCTTTGATGACGATGCCAAATCCTTCAGGATTGCATCATGATTATCCCAGAAATCGCAAATGTAAACAATCATTTCTCACTGTGCACACAATCACGTTTTCTGAAACGGCTGATTGTAGAGATAGAGGCATGCTGCTTGAATTCATTTCCCTTGTGAAAATGTGACACAGAAGAACGGTGCATTTGTTCTCTTGCTTTGTAATCCTTCTCCTCATTAATTCTGGTATTCAGTGCCTCTTTTTTTTCAGTCTCTTACCAATTGTTTTTCTTGTTCTTCAACCTCTTTGTTTTGATCTCAGTCTTTTACCTGTATGTTTACTCCTGTTTAGGAGATTAAACAAATCCCACTTCTGCAGCACTTTAATTATGCAGAGCATTTTTAGTAAGGAAAGGCGCTGGGGAAATATGTTGTGGAAGTGTATGAACGTAGTATTTATACCTCTGCACATCACTTTGATATGAGAGATTGTGAGAAGGTTTTATTGTCTGATCATTAGCGGTGCTTGCTTAGGCAATTTTTTCTGTTATTTTGGCTCATACATGGCTATTTAAATATGCTGCATCAGTCATCTTACACGTTGCAGACTGGAAGGATGCTGCAATTTTTTATGCTAAAACAGAGCAGCTTGATATGAGTTTTCAAGCACTAAAATCTCATGTTAAAATCGTTCAGCCAGGTAACTGAGAATTTAAAAATGTACTATTTACAGGATCTTAATAGCGTCGGGTCGATAGACGATGTCATCGTCCATCGCCGATAGCCATCACGATGCTGAGCTGGCATTGCAAACCTCTGCCCCGCCCCCGTTGCAGCAACCCACTTGCTAAAAATACACTCGGCCCCATTTACACTAATACTTAGGTTTTAAATTGCCCTCCATACATCCTATTCCGCTGAAAACAAACATCTTGTGACCACACACACACACACACACACACACACACACAAACTGACTTGCTCTGTAAACAGTGTAGACTATGCGCGTCTGAGCTCCAGCACTCACCCTAGAGAGCAGTGCACATCGTACAGGTTATCAAGGATGTTCCACTGGATCACGTCTCACTATAGTTCTTAAACGTGATATTTAATAATCTTGTCTCTATCTAACGACTCTTCGGTCTTTTGAATCTATCAGGTAATGCGTCACAGCATTAGTACACTACTTCAATCTTTCGCTTTCAATCTTGCACTTGATAAATTTAGCGAAAACCACAGATCTTGTTGGTTTTGCACCTTTTTTACCAAGTTTGTTGACGCCTTTATAATGACACAGATCACTCTGCCTAATCATGCCAGAGTCCTGCGGAAAAAGTGATTAACGAGTGGTAATTTATGTTTAAATAATCTTTATTTATTTCTGATATGGTTATAGGTAAAACAAAGACCATGTGGGTCAGGTAGTTGAAACAGTAGGCTACAAATGATTAATTCATTATGAATGAATTAATTAATTCACCGCCGCCTACTACGAAGATGCCATACTCCATTGTGATGTTTTACATTAGACATCGAACGATGCCAAATTGGTCGACATCGCCCAGCCCTAGATCCTATGTTTGGTTGTTTAGTTTATTCATTTATTAAGCACAATTAAAAATTACAGTAATTTTAACCAAAGTATTGTACAGGAAAATAAAATTTAATAAGCAAAAATGTGAGCAAAATTAACTCCCTGGATCAAAAAAATACAGGGGAATTTTTTATTATTACTATTGTTGAAATTTTGAATGTGCCTGTAAACTTGCATTGGGCTTCAGGTTTGAGATATATTTGTCATGTTTGTTGTCTCTTAGCAACAACTGGAGGAGGAGGCAGCAAAGCCGGTAGAGCCAGAAAAGCCAGTGACGCCGCCTCCTGTGGAACACAAACATCGCAGCATCGTCCAGATCATTTATGACGAGAACCGGGTATGAACACATTTATATGTGATGCTGTTCTGCCACTCTTTCTCTCTCTCTGTCTCAAACACGCACACACACAGAAACCAGATTGTGCTGCTCTTTACAGGACACGTGATTAGGTGTTGTTAGGTCTCTATGAAGAATTTTTTTTTTTTTCTGTTTTAATTTTACAGTGCTCCATTTAGAAATGTTCATATAGATTTACTGATGAATTACTGCTGTAAAATAGAATATTATTACCATCACAATTTGTTCAAATTAAACAAAACTTTCACTTTGGAAGTGAATTTTTTTAGTCACTGTTTGTTTTGTTTTATTAAATGATGATAAACTCCTCTTTTGATTAATTTGCTTAGTTTGCCAGATTCCATAACATTCTAGGTTATACAGTAAATTACATTTTTATGCTTTGATTCTGCAGTTCTGGCCACATTTTCCACATTGTGGAAATCCTAGGGCCCTATGTGGTTAAAGCGTGCTTATATTATTCTCATTGACCAAATACTTTCCGTACAGTCCTTTAAGATCTTTGGAAGATATTGAGCAATAAATAATTGAGCTCAATTGTTTTTTTCTAGAGATGTGACTATATAAGAGCTGTGGCTGTAATAAAAACAGACCATTTTTTCGGATCAGGAAAAAAAAGAAAGAGACAATGTCATTTGCTTTCCATTTATACAAAAATATTACTGCAACAACGATTGGTTTTAACAAACAGAACTTAGAACCTGTCATTTTAGTAAAAATTTAAATCAAGAAAGAACCAGCTGAATAAAAGGAAAATATTCAATACGAACAATGATCTCTGCTACTGTTAACGCTAAATATAGAAATCTAAGATCTTGTACACCATATCATATTTAGTTTAATTAAGGATTCAAAAATACTCTTATAAAACTTTAAAAACTTCTAAAACTTCTTTACCATCAACATCAGTGTTTATACCTGAGCTATAAACTGTTGTCCCACTCCCAGTACTCCTGTGTTATTTTATTGTTTTTAACGAACTGAAAAAGTTTAAAAGCTGAATCTCTCTCGATCAAATTGATTTGAATGCAGCGCATTGATTGATTAATAAGCATGCAAATGTTTATCATTTATGTTGCTGGGGTTTTAATTGTGATCACAATTTTTTAATGTTTAATTGTGCTGCTTTACACTGAATGCATTTATGTTGGGTAAATAAACAGTGACCAAAAACACTGTGATTTAATAAAAATCTAAAAAGCATTGATTGGTCCCAGCACAACTTTTTCCGTCATCATAATATTTTACAGGGAAGCCAAAATACTTTCATACACGTGATTTAAAGGACAGGAAGGCAATCTTTCTGCAATTGTTATAATTGGTGGGTTAACCTACAAGTTCAAGAAAGTTATTAATCCACAGGTCACGTGCGATCCAAACTGTGGATTGTGATCTGTACGGATCATGGATCATTTGTGATCCGTTACACCCCTAGTCTCACCACACAAGTGCAACAAAAAGAAACATGTAGAATTTTATGTGGCTCTACGTTGTGCCAGAATTTTCAGACAAACACAAATTATCTGTGAAATCAGTACTACTGATATTCTGTCTCATAGCAACTGAAGCGTCTTTCAGCCAACAGAAAAAAATGCTGCGCCATAGAAATGCACACATCTGTGTGTTTTTTATAATGCACTGGCATTTTCAGCAGACTATAAACACTTAAAGCATTACACATACATAAAAAGACAGCTAGCAGACGTGATGCAAAACTACAGCAACCTGAGACAGGCTGAGACAGGCTCACTACACTTCTAGCATCTATAGAGAAATGGTTACACAGATGGACGTGTATACTTGGTAGATTCTTGCAGCAGATACAAAATCAGATTGTAGATTCGAGTGTAATGAATTGTGGGATTTGTGTAATGGAGGCGTTTCCCAGACAGTACATTGCAGCTCAGGAAATGGTGATTTATTTTTTTTGGCATGTTTATTTTTACTCCCTTTCACCCCAGAGGAGACTGTTTTCCAAACAAGTGATAAATTGTTGTGTACTCAAAACAATTTGTGTTTCTCCTTTTGAAGCCCACATATTCTGTCTCTATCGAAGCTGGCATTAAACATTTGAGTGCACGGTTTGTTCGTTTAATGCAGTTTGTCAGCAGGCAGACTATCTTAACCACAAGGACATACATCTGTCTCTTTTACCAACATTCTTTCACTGTTGTGTCACAGAAAAAGGCAGAGGAAGCCCATAAGATACTGGAGGGGTTGGGGCCTAAAGTGGAGCTGGTGAGAGCTGTGCGAAATTGTTTTCTGGTGCAATATATTTCAAGTATGTATTCATCTAGTAAATCTGCTGCCATTCCCCCTGTTTCTCCGCAGCCTCTGTACAACCAGCCCTCTGATACTAAAGTCTACCATGACAACATTAAGACGTGAGTATCCGCTCTTTGTAAGCTCACAGTAAATAATGCTGACTGTGACTTTGACCGGGCTTATCAGATGTGTGACAGGGATTGCAGGCTACATGATTAGTTCATGTGACTTCAGTTTTCTTTAGGTTCAGCTGTTGTATTTCCAAGACAATCAATAGCAAATTAAAACACAACTCGGTCAAATGTATGGCAGCACTTTACCAAAAGGAGATAAGATGTTCATGAATCATTTATAATCATAACATGCCATGAATATTAAGAACATTTTATGCATGCTTATAACTATTGTCATAGAGTGGAGGAACTACGACATCACCTTGTAGGCCAATCGGCTGTTAGCATAAAACTCGTTCCCTTGATAAGTTCCCTATAGGATTTTCCTATAATGTTACAAAGTTTGCAAATAATAAGCTCTTTGTTCAAACACAGTTCATTACACTTACACCTTTTGTCCAACCGGATAATCCTCACACGAAAATACAACTTTTAGCACTTTTGAATCTTAAATGCAAACGCAAGAATTGAAAGCTAACATTAGGCTATAAACGAGCTACAGTGCCTTCGGGGCGCTCGACTGTGACATCAGCACCACCCTGTTACTGACAACTTATCAAGATTATTTTTAGAAATATGGTTCATGAGGAAGATTTAGTCTATATTTATAATATAATCTGCGCTATATATTATAAACAAATACAAATACTTAAACACCTCTGTATATAGACCTATGTGCCTTTTGGATTGTTGTTTTTTTATGTGGGAAATACATTTGTTTTGCTTCATGATAGTTGTAAAAGTTAAAAAGCGACTTATTTTCATAAGTGTATCGCGTGTGTGCATAAAACCCACTTACCTTAACCTAGTAATAGATGACAGGAATGAGAAGTGAGGTATCAAATGCCTGCAAGTTCCATCATGGATAGAGAACAACATTCAATGTTCTTTTTTGTTCCGAAGTATAGCAAAAAGCAGCCCATGCTGCCATGCCAAGGTAGAGTGTAAATATTGCAGTTATGATGGAGTTAAATATGATCAAATAAAGAAAAAAGTGACAGAAAATCAATTGATCACATTTAAACGACAGATAATATGTATGTATTTTTACACATTTATTCACACATTTGCTTACTGAACGTAGAAAAGAGATGGTCTGCAACCAGTATCTTCATAAATTTGTTTAATTAAAACAAATAGTCAACAAATAAATCTGTCTTGATGGTCTCTACAAGGGAAGGCATTATCTACACGAAATATAAATTCCCTAATAGAAAAATACCGGGACTGCTAAAATACTTGCTTCCGTTTTTGTTTTTATTTATTTTTTATTTTTTATTTTTTTTGCATACACACTGACATCATAGTCCCTCTTCTCTAGTAAGTGTCTTTCCTGATAGCTTGATGTTATTAGAACAACTTGACCTGTCATAAATTTGTCATAAACCTGACTGTCATGAGGTCGTTGTAATTGTCATGAATTTCATAACAGCATCATTATTTTGTCCTTGAACTCAACTAGTAGTGCAAATTAAATTAACTCAATTTGTGTGATTATTAACACTTTTATTGAGAATTAAATTACAAATTCTGTTGTTTCACTGAAAAAAGCGATCTGAAAAATATTCTTGACAATTATTATGGCTTAATGACAATCATGTTACACGCTACATTGTGGTTGTCTTTCTGTTTTATGAATTGTGGAAACTATTCTTTAGTCTAGCAGATTAGTTAAAGTCACAGACATTGGATTATTTCTGATATTATCACATGTAGTACTAAACCAATATCAATATTTACATTTCTAGAAAGCTGTCAATATAGATATATAACAGCTTCTAGATAGTTCTTTTATCTTTGCCCTTTGAAATGTGCCAGAGGCAAGTAGATTTGCCATCATGTGTAAAATAAATTGAAACTCCTCTTCCTGAAGCACAAAAATAGAGATTCTTGAAGATTAATAGTTTGGAGTTGAAAGCAAACCTTTTTTTTAGAAATACAAATTTGAATCAGTGTAAAATGTGACCTTTCACTTTTCACCCACCTCATCCCAGTCATTAGATGCTTTCAAAGAGTCAACGGACACTTGATGTTGCATCATGTTTGCTGAGTCATTTACATGGTAAACATTGACTCGCCAACTCATTTTTTGACTGGTTGATTAGTAAACCGGAGTATTCTTGCAGGATTTATTATGGGTACAATAATGGTCTCTCCTGATATCTCTGCAGCAGGCACGCAACAGTCTGCGTGGGTTAAAGGGAAATTGCTGCATGTATGTACAGGTCAAATTCAGTCAGTCTGTCTGTTACTCACACAGACACAATAGAGGAGGAAGAGTGAAGCCCTCTCTTCTCATGAATAACTTACACTACTATTCAAAAGTTTGGGGTCAATATGATTTACACGTTCCTTCAAAAGTAAAGAGTTTTTCAATGCATTTTTGGCATGATAAATAGCATTAAATTACTTATTTAAATATTACATATTACCTTTATAAATATTTCATATATAAGATAGATAGAAAGACAGACAGAAAATTATACTAGATAGATAGATAGATAGATAGATAGATAGATAGATAGATAGATAGATAGATAGATAGATAGATAGATAGATAGATAGATAGATAGAGCGATGAGATTAATGCTAAGATACTGTAAAAGAAGAAGTGCAACAGGAAATAGTTGTATAGGTGCAAATGTATGTGCCTGTCGAGATGGAAATGTAACAAAGTATTCACACAAACACTGTCTACACCAGACATGTCAGCTGTCACTCTTCTAGCTGCAGATAGTAGCTGTTCTACTTTAGACTTTACAAAACAGAGTAAAGATGAATTAAAACAAGGCATTAGTTTGCAAGTCATGTTGAATCACACCTCTTGCATCCAACACTTCTGAGACTTCTTGTTTTTTTACAAGAAGAGAAGGATTCAGCTGTTCTGATGGAGTTGAGAGGACTTATGATCCACCATGTTTGTCTGTGGGCAGGTTATGTAGCAGCACCGAGATCTTGTTCACTGTGCATTGTTCGCTGCTTTTATGAGGGGGGAATGTAAACTCCAGCTTTTATTACTGCAGGAATCAGGTGATGAGGAAGAAGCTGATTCTGTTTTTCAAGAGGAGAAATCATGCACGCAAACAGAGGGTAAGTCTCTCTCTCTCTCTCTCTCTCTCTCTCTCTCTACCTCTCTCTCTCTCTCTACCTCTCTCTACCTCTCTCTCCCCCCCATATATATATATATATATATATATATATATATATATATATATATATATATATATATATATATATATATATATATATATATATATATATATATATATATATATATATATATATATATATATATATATATATATATATATATATATATATGTATATATATATATATATATATGTGTGTGTGTGTGTGTGTGTGTGTATGTATGTATATACATTATAGTAAACACAGTAAGTAGTTGTAGAAAAAAACAATAGTAGTAATAAAAAAATCTTTATGTTGCCAAAGCACTTACTTAATTTACTTACATCATCAAATTAATACAATATGGAATGACAGGAAACACATTTACAAAACATACAAAATCTTCAATAATAATTACAAATATAAGCTCTTTCTTTTGTGCAGTGAATAGTGAATTCATGAGTTTGAGGGTGCAAGTGCTCCTCCATCGGGAGACATGGCTGAAGTTACATAGAATACAGTTTTATAGATTCAAACACTATTTTCATGAAATGGCATCGTCAACTTTGTGATCACATTACTTTGTTCATAGAGAAGTTACAAAGTGAATGAAAATATTTATAGAGAATTGGATGCTAATTTATAACTAAAAAACTCAAATATATAACAGATAATGTGTGTTGTTGGAACAGTCATCTCATTTGCTCAAGTTGATTTCTGTGCTTGATTCAGACATGTAATCAATTCCATGTATCCAGTTTGTTAAATGTTGGTTTATTGGTTTATTATCTAGATGGTTTATTGTCTTTGTCTAAACTTTTGACAAAAGAGGTCAGAGGTTAGTTCATGACTCTTCATAAAAGTTATGATAGCAGTTGCACCTACTGAATGTCAGGTTTTTGATTAATTTAAAGCCCCATATCGGCTGTTGCATAAAATACTTTTTTAACAAACCAACAGTTTGTTTGATTACCTGTGTCAAGGCACAGTGTTGTATAATATGTTGCATAATTCAGTGTTTGTCTCTGGGAAAAACTAAATTTAATCCATGTTAGAATTGCACAACCACAACAAAAATAATCATGTTTTGATAAGATGCAGCAATCTACCAGCTAGTATACCTTAATGAATGTGCCTTTCTTACTTTGCGTATAAAAAGCAAGATCTCTTTAAATGAAAAATGCTCATTAATAAATAGCAAATATTAAAATCAGCCAATAGTTGTTTATAAAAAAAAAAAACACCCAAATTGCATCTTAGGTTATGAACTCTTTGTTGTAATTACACAACAAAGCAAAAGGAGATTTAATGGTCTCACATTATATCAGGTGCCTTTTAACTACTAATTACCTTAAAGATAGTTTTGTACAATATAATTGGATTATTGGATCGGTACTGGTAGTTTTAAGGATGTTTAATATAGTGCAGGTTATGGTCAGCAGGGTAGTTACAAATGTATTTATTTTAATTAATTACATGCAGATATTGTAATAAATCAATGAATGCCAAATTATAATAGAAACACATCCATCTGCATAAAAAGTGCATTTTATCATAATTCATTTAGATTTTAGTAGTTTTATTTGTAGTTTTAGTTTTCAAATTTAACAACTTTATTAATCCCACCAGGGGCAATTAAATTAGGGCAGTAGCATCATGATTCAACAAACACATAAAGAGACAAATCACTCACAAAAATATTAAAAATCCAGCTTGCTTCATTATAACTTCATAAATAGCACCACAAAACCAATAAGAAAAGAAGGTGAAGTTTTGAAGATGATTTTTGTTTCTAATGGAAAGTGAGGAGAAACGGCATAAAAAGCACAATTTATTAGTAATTTGTAATTTAGTTTATTGTAGTTGATGGGCTAGTTTAAACCGCTTAGCTGGAAAAACTAATTTTACCATTAACCTGATTTTAATTTGTTGTTATTGAGATGCATTGTTCGGTAGATTGTTTGCAGAATGCTTCATATCACTGACTATAAAACATTTGATTTCTTCTGATAGGTAGTAAAGAAATAGTTTGTATTTCATCAGATTTTCTTGTGTTTTTGTGAACTTGTCTTGCCTAGATCTCTTTAGGCTGCTTTCTATGATCATTACTCATGGTTATAAAAATTGTCCATTTGTTTCTGCCTGTCTTTGTCTTTTGTGCTTCAGGATTGTTGATAATGGATGTTTTCTTTAAATCCTGTTCCAAAAATAAGCTGCGCACATTTTGATTGCTGTTTTTAAATTGGTTTGTTCTCAGGAAGGTAAAGTTCAGTGCAGTTGCTTGTTAGCAGACTCGGTCGGTCAGACCTGCTGGACCAAGAACAGTCAAAGTGGTGACATGGCCAAATGCCAACAGGAAGGTTAACTGTTCAGAGAGGAGGGAAAACAAATCTTTTTTTGTCCTGGATGTACTGTAGTGTAGACTAAAGTGCACTTGTTTCTTTGAACAACTCTTCTTGTTGAACCTCTTTATCTTTGCTCGCTCCCTCTCCCATTCTTATCTTTCTTGGTCTCTTTCTGTAAGTGGTTTCAGGTTTGTAAGTCACATTGCAGGCCAAGAACATCACAGAGAATAACAGGTTATAGGGAATTAAGAGTCAGGTTAACATGATGAAATTAGCAGGGCATATATTGTTTCCTGCTTCTCACAAGATTTCCAGTCAAAGGGCACCTTTAGGGCCAGGGTATGCAGTTTTGTTTCCCAAAAGAGCAGTGGTGATTGTATAAGAGCAGTTTTTTTTTTCAGACATGCAAAACAGCTAGTTTTTCTTTAAAACATAAAATGCAAGTGAATTTTTTTCTTTCGAAAGATAATGCTTTTGATTGCAACAAATAGTTAAAAGCAAAGTTTAGTTAGTCATGTAAATTATTTTTGCACACAATCCATGCATTTTTTTTTACAGTATTCATTATGCACATTATTATTATTTTTTTTTTTCATTTTTACCCTAAGGCATGTAATTAATACCGAACCATATAATTATTATTTTTTTTAAATGGTCATTTTTAGATTGTTTCATATTTCATCATATTTTATTAAAATGGTTATGTTTGTATTACAATGCAAAAAGTGCATAATTTTTAAATGAATGATTTCTGGAACAAAACCTGGAAGTAAAAGTTACTGTGACGGATGGCCACCACACAATTTCTGTTTTCCTAGAACATGCCGTTACTAAGCAGTTATAACAAGAAAATAAAGCATTACATTTTTTTAACTGTCTTTAATTATTTTATGCAATATAACGTTATGGGCCAACCATGGATAAATACATGAATGTATAAACATGTATGAAATATCACTATTCAGTTCACTAACACCACTGACATTCAGTTCACTTTACTATTATTAGCTCTTCGGTCGTGTTTCCTGGCTGATTTGAGATCGCTTTGCTTCAGTTTACCCCCTATCTTGATCCAGCAGCGCACTTTCATCTTCTCTTGATCAGGCTCATTATTATTATAGATTTTTTACTCATGGTTTAAAAAAAACTGATAATATGCTTGACTATCTCTGGCATTTTGAAAATACAAATACTCTTTAGGTAGGCCACTATGCCATTTTTATTTTTCGCTGCTCACTGCGCATGAAACAATAATCACCAACCAATAACAGTGATTGTAAATGTAAGAAAGCTGATTGGTTGAAAGTGACTGCCTTTACATGCACACAATCCATACATCTTTGCTCGCTGTTTTTATTCAGACTCATTCACATTCTCTCACTCTCTTTCTTTCTTTCTTTCTTTCTTTCTTTCTTTCTTTCTTTCTTTCTTTCTTTCTTTCTTTCTTTCTCTCTCTCTCTCTCTCTCTCTCTCTCTCTCTCTCTCTCTCTTTCTGTCTCTCTCACACACACACACACACACACACACACAAGTGCAGGTATTCACTTCGCAATAGTTAATGCCAGATCAATTCAAATAAATGACGGAACTCAAAAATCTAACATTTACCAGAACGGGTTCCGGCTCTGGCTCAAATAAAGCACTGATTGCAAACCATACTAAGCAAAAATTAGGTGTACATATTATCAGTTAGATTAATTAATAAAAGCCTTCAAAATATTGTTATATAGTTTGATTGCCCCAAAATATTTTAACAGCTAAATAATTGTTTGGTTGATTTAGCAATAAATTTCATCCTTGCATAAAAGTGTACTGAATAATAGTAATCAACTGGAGAACTTGTTGTGGTGAGCTTAATTCATTTATTTAGAATATTGGAGTTATTTAAATACAATAAGAAACATTGCTTTCTTTAAGTTTATTTCTTTTTTGTATGGGACTATAAAAATTTATCCGGTCAATCAGCTGAATGTAAATTAGGAAAAAAAAATGTTTTTTTTGTTTCCTCAGGAGCAGAAAATTTGTCAGCGGTATGATGAACTCATGACAGAGTGGGAGAAAAAAGTTGAGCGTATGGAAAACAACCCACGCCGTAAAGCCAAAGAGAGCCGCACACGAGAATACTATGAGAGGCAGTTTCCTGAAATCCGCAAACAGCGCGAGCAACAGGAGCGTTTCCAGAGGTCAGCCAGGCCCCTCAGTTTTCATGATGACCTAGTAAACGCGCTGTCATTCACACACATTCACAAGTATTGCTTTTCCCTGACACAGACAGTGATGTAACATTTAGTGTAAACACTCAAGGCGCTGTGTTGCTGTCCTGGCTCTGCAGATGGCCAATCAGCATTGAGGATTCTGTGGGTGCTAGGGTCAGAAGTCAGGCTGTTATAGTTCCTGGTAGAGAGATCCCAGGGCTTTCCTGAATTACAGGGAAATCTATCTAGAACAGCACTAAAGCAGAACTGAAGAACATTCGCATACCATTTTTGGTGAACTCAGTTCACCAAAAACACAGATACTGTTGTGTCTTCTGATAAAACAGAAACATATCAAACAAAGTAGCCACATTATAGATACTGCCTGTCTTGCATAAGACTCTTTGGCAGCTTTCTGATGTTCAATTGTTTACTAAAAAAAGACTAGAGGTGAGAGTCAAATAATTGACTTGATTCTGAGGGAAAAGTTGTTTATCATACTTTAAACAAAAAGTCAGTAAAGTCATGTGGTTCATTATGTCAACAACTGCTTTGACAACTTTAGTTAGTGAGTGAGTCATTTACTTTTCTCAGGGTTGTTGTTTTTTTATTAGTTATAATTTTAATTAATTATTAGTTTAATTTAATTAGTATAATTTTATTAAGGGTCGTCATGGTGGCGCAGTGGGTAGCACAATCGCCTCACAGAAAGAAGGTAACTTGTTCAAGCCTTGGCTGGGTCAGTTGACATTTCTGTGCGGAGTTTGCATGTTCTCCTCGTGTTGGTGTGGGTTTCCTCTGGGTGATCCGGTTTCCCCACACAAGTCCAAAGACATGCGGTACAGGTGAATTCATTCATTCATTTTCTTGTCTGCGTAGTCCCTTTATTAATCTGGGGTCGCCACAGCGGAATGAACCGCCAACTTATCCAGCAAGTTTTTACGCAGCGGATGCCCTTCCAGCCGCAACCCATCTCTGGGAAACATCCACACACACACTCATACTCATGCACTACGGAGAATTCAGCCTACCCAATTCACCTGTACTGCATGTCTTTGTGTGGGGAAACCGGAGCACCCGGAGGAAACCCACACGAAGGCAGGGAGAACATGCAAACTCCACACAGAAACACCAACTGAGCCGAGGTTTGAACCAGCGACCCAGCGACCTTCTTGCTGTGAGGCAAGAGCACTACCTACTGCGCCACTGCCTCGCCCACAGGTGAATTGGGTAAGCTAAATTGTCTGTGTGAATGAGTGTGTATGGATGTTTCCCAGTGATGCGTTGCAGCTGGAAGGGCATAAAAACATATGCTGGATAAGTTGGCAGTTCATTCTTCTTTGGAAAAGAAAATGAATGAATGAATTTTATAAATTTATTAGTTTTATTAGTTATATTTTTTATAAAATAAATCAGATCAAATTGCTAATAACAATAGGATATGAAAGATAATTTAACAATACTCAATTTTCATGTACATTGTTTATTTAAATTAGATTTCAGTTTAAAAATTACATGTATTTTACACCTAGTCAGTTCCTGCATTTTTTCTGATGTAATAAGCTATCCAGCTGTAAAAAGGACCAGTGTAAAGGCTGATACTTTTAAACTTCTGTGTCAAGCACATGCATATGCTCTGGCGCAGCCTTCACGCGGTCACATACCCCTCACCATGGCTGACGCCGGTGCTGTCGCGCACCTCTCAAAAAATATAACTACACTTCACAACAACGCGTATTGCAAGCTCTGTGATTGGACAGTGCTGAGAGCCACGGGCCCGGTGGAGCAAGTGTTTACAAGTGTCGAGTCGTGTGGAGGAGCTCCACATGGAAAATTTTGTTTTGTGTTTATCTTATGATTAAAGTTGTTGCACGTCTGATGGTTCCTGCCTCTGAATGGGTGAGTTTTAGCTATTTTTACATTAAGGTAGCATTGAGAATAAAACACTTGCGAAGAAAATCGGCATAGAGTAGCATAACATAATCTACTGCCAGCTAATGTTTCTTGTTATCTAGTTTTCTACAGTGCAAAAGCACACAGAAATATAAATGCACGACTACACGCAAGGCAGGCTTCGTAGGTCATGCCGATCACTTGACACAGAAGTATAAACCAGCCTTAAATGCCCTCACCTTAGACAGGTCTAAGTGCATCTGGATGTTAAAATCACATATGTACATTTTACTTCACCCAAAAATAAAAATGCGAGAGCGTACATATTGTGGGGTATATGCCCGTCAGATATACAAGCGCTAATGTATAAGCAATGGAAGGCCACTGGTGAGTGTTTGAGGTGTTTGTTTCATTTGCATTTTTTTCATTTAGTTTTATTTTTGACTCTGAATTTATCAAAGTAAATTAATATAAGATGGCAGCATTCACAATAGAGATGCAGCACGTTCCCGTAGTCTTTGTCTGTGAAAAGAGAGGATTAATAATAGAAAAATATAGTGTTTCATTTGTTTATACAGGTACACATTTATTTTGGGGGTAGAGAATGTGTTTTACACAAATGAATTAAAACCCTCAAGATTGATGTCATGCACTGTATGACAAAAAATAGAAGTTTAATTTAGCCTATAATGAAAGTAATAGCAGAGCCTGCCTTGTGCGCTTGTAATGATGTTTTACAGTCTGCATATAAAGCAATTTGAATACCAAATAAGCTGTATAGCTTACATTTCTGTAAATAATTTTATTAATTAAATGAAAAAAGGTTTTTCTGACACTTTAGGGTGGGATTTGAAGATTAGAATTATATTCATTTAGCGGCGGCACATTTATGTGGGCAAATGTAAATGTAAATGTAACTGTTTTCAGAAATCAGATGGCTAACTGATCAGAGAAAAAAAAACGTGTGAAGTGACCTGGTGTAGACAGGCCCATAGATTTTAAGCACTGTTATTTTTATGTTAAAAATTATCATTTCAGAACCATTAGTGGAGACAAACATCATTTGGTTATAGTCATTGGTAATAAAACAAATCCGATTTTGAAAAAAAAATCTAAATTTGTAAGCCACATCAGACCTTCTTGTTAGTTCTGGCAATCTGTCTTGTTCCCTAAATGAGTTTTCCCTCTCATAAAGATTGCCGGACTCTATACTGTAGTTCCGCTCATTCAGATCAAACTGTCCAACTTCTGTGAGCACGGTTTGCCTGCCTTGATTGTTTAGACAAGTCAGAGTATGTAGCTATTGTTGCTGGAACAGTCTCTAAACCAAGATCTTCAGTGCTCCAGAGCTCATGAATAGACCGAGAGGAATCTTGCCAATAGCTGTAACCACTGCTTCAAAGGCTTTCTGTGGGAGAAGAAACAGGGTGGGACTCTGGTCTGCGAGCTTGCTTGGGAAATCGCTGTTACATGGTATGGAGACAACAAAGCCAGGAACAGAGACACACTTTCTCTAACCATGCTTCATCCTTTCTGTATTTAGAGTTGGCCAGAGGGGGACAGGCCTGTCTGCCACCATCGCAAGAAGTGAACATGAGATTTCTGAGATCATTGACGGCCTCTCGGAGCAGGAGGTAAACCAACGTTTTAATATCTGACAGATAACCTGAATTTAAAGAAAAAAAGATGTGTCTGAGTTTGCCTCAAGTACACTGCGTGTGTTGTCCAGACATTTAGAGCTTCACCCAGAAACGGCACCTTCTAACACGCATCAGCCTTCATTATTTCCTATGAGTGCTAAAATGCAAAAGATAGATACAAGACTTATGTATGACATGGTGTTTTCCTGGACAGAGTGTAAATTTAAACCAGGAGTATGCCTTAATCTGGAATAGTAAATCATGACTTTAAAATTACTTTCTGAAAGCCAAATTTAGTACAGATTACTAACACATAAACAATAGAGTCATGAAAAAAAAAATGTATTTGATTTATTTAAAACCACCTGTACAAGCCAGAACTAGTTGGATTAAGGTTGCCACATGGAAAAACATGGAATGAACTTTAGAAAAGTCTCAATTCATGTGCAACTGAGAAGCTAACATCAACGACAGCTGAAAAGAGTGCAGTCAAGAACGTAAAGTCTTTTATAGCAAGAAGTTTCAAGGTATCCTGTTACTGGTTAAAATAAACTGCACAATTAGAATTTAGACTTTTAAAACATATAAAAGTGCAAGGTAAACTGCAGCTCTTTCAGTAATTTAATATTCGCTTAAAAACTTTACAATGGGTTGATCACAGCAGCTTGACATATTCAAAAGAGTTCACCCAAAACCTAAAATTCTTTCATGATTTACTTGTTCCAAACCAGTTTGTCTTTTTTTTTTTTGGAACAAAAGAAGACATAAAGAAAATACCTGTAATCAATTATATTCATAGTATGCAAAAGCACTGCTGTATTAGGGTGTTCTGTGTTTGTCTGAGGTAATTTGTCTACCAAAATCTGTACATTCCATACAAAGCATAAAGGTGATCGATCAGTTCTTGCTCTCTTGTGAACGCGTGGTGGTCAGCGGAGCTGCGTACAAACGGCTGTGCAGTTGTTTAAATCTGCATTTGCTGACAGACAGATTGGGCTACTTATCAGAATTATGAGAGATGTCGGCCCGACTCTATTTAATTGGATGAACATTTTAATCATTACTATTAGACTGTGAAGAGACTTTCAACCAGCACAAAAAATGCTTCTGAAGACAATCACCTACTACACCTTTTAGAGCTGTCAAAAGTTCTTTAGAGACTGGACATAGACTGCATTTCACAGCAATATTTTTGTTTTTACGCTCAAAATCTATGTAATGTCTGTATTTCCACTTTTGTGAGCAGCTATTTTATCTTGCATCTCCAGCAATTTAAATGCTTTATGGTTATTAACTGACGTTGCAGTGGCATTTTTTTTCTTTTAATATCTATATTTGTAATGCAAGTAACACAATTACATTGCCTTTAGGAACCGTAATCAAATTACACAGATTTAAAATGTAATTTGTTACATTACTGCCTTCCCTAAAAATGTAATTAGAATACAGTAACACATTACTGTTAAACTGGTTACGCCTAACTATCAGCTTATTTAATTCTGGACCAGGTGGTAGACCTATGACTATTCAAAACTATGACAAAGAAATCAGGTTTCTGTTAATCTGGTCTAAAGGGTTGTTTTAGTCTAGGATTAGGCTTAATCTGTCTGAAAAACCACCTTAATATCTGGTTTACATTGCAGTTTAGACAGCAGACAGAGACCAACAAGAGTTCTAGTTTAATGTACTGGCTTCTATGAAAGAGAACAGTTCAAACAGTGCTGCTCCGCTGTGTGGAAAAACGGTGATCACGCAGTTCTCTTTTCTCTTTTCAATAGCTTTCATTCTGCTTTTGTACAATCGCTTTCAATAAAAAGTCTGCTAAGTGCATAAAATATCAATTGTGTTAGACCTTTAATTGTTGCACATTTAGATGGTTAACCTTGGTGAATTTTATGAATAATTGCCATTTTATTTTCCTGGAGGACAGAAGTTGTTTTTTGGATAATCGAATTGGAGCTTTTGATTACTGGCCAGTCATGTCAAATGGCCAGTGAATGTACTGTGGGATGTGCGTGTGCTCTCTGAGAATGAGACTGGAGTGCTCTACAGATATGCTGGATCTCAACACCTTTTTTGTCTTCCTCAGAACAATGAGAAGCAGATGAGGCAGTTGTCCGTCATTCCTCCCATGATGTACGATTCAGAGCAGCGGAGAGTGAAGTTTATTAATATGAACGGTCTGATGGATGACCCCATGAAGGTCTACAAGTCCCGCCAGTTCATGAATGTCTGGACCGAACACGAGAAGGAGATCTTTAGGGAGAAGTGAGTAAATGCAGCTCATGTTGCTCAGTTTCTGTACAATATTGGAAAAAAATTACATTGCCATATTTTCTTTTTTTGCAATATTTATCAGAATTTCACCAGATAAATAGCTTCATTTGGAAACAATCAATATTTTTTTATTTATTGCGATTGATTTGTTGTGAATTATATCGGTGTATACATAATAAATCAATAATAAATATACATAAAAAACATAATAAATCAATTACAATAATTGTTGAAAACAGTAGAGCAAAGATACATATGAAATAAACAATGCTTTTTTGTTATCTGAGAGTCGTGCAGTATTCAATTAATTTTCGTTCCTAAAGTTACAAACATCATTTCTTGTCTCTGAATGCTTTAAACTGGCTTGAAATGTTCACACAGTCACATGCCTTAAAAACACACAGAAATTATAAACTTTTGAGTAACTTTATTTATAAAAGGAAGAACTTGTGCTTAATTAAATTGACTTTTACATGCTCTGAGCACCTTTTTCCACTTAGTTCAAATGAAATAAGACTGATTTTATCTAATCTAGTAATTCTTTTTTGCCTATACTGTAAATGCATTTCCAGATGAGCTTTTTTTTGCCTTCTGATGGAGTATATAATCTTTGCAATTACTCTAATACACTAATAACATTTTTCTCAACTGTGCTCCTGGTTGAATAAAATCCCGACATTTTGTTGCGGATGCACACATTGTGATATCAATGCCAAAACAATATATTGTGCAGCCCTAATGGGAATGTTCTGCTTTTTCTCACCTTTGTTCTCTGTGATTTAGGTTTGTGCAGCATCCCAAGAACTTCGGGCTAATCGCCTCTTTTCTGGAGAGGAAGGTGAGTTTTCTGTTTTGTGACATTGAGTATGATGGACTGCTGGATGGTCAGTGAATGATTGAAACAGCTTTTTTGTTGAATTTTATTTTCAAATCCAAGCCCAAGTGATGCATCTCTATTTATATTTACCTGTACTTTCTCTTGTTCTACAGTGTGTGTCTGATTGTGTGCTGTACTACTATTTGACTAAGAAGAGTCAAAACTATAAAACGCTTGTCAGACGAAATTTTGGAAACCGAAGGCGACGGAATCAGGTACTGAAAAAAAAAAGTTTTTTCTTCTCTTGGGTGCTTTTCACTATGAATGTGTATGTTGATGAATGTCGTGCTTCCCACAGGTTTGATATTGTGGTACTTGTGGTAGTGGTAGATTGAAACACACCGCATAAATAGTATATTGTATTTATTATGACACTGTTATACACTGTTGAATGCCTAAGCATTTATATATGCATACATAATAATAGAATGTAATATATTAACATCATCAAATTAATAACATAATCAGCAAAAGAGAAATAAACGGCAGAAGAATAATAAAACAGACAATCTCTCTAAAAAATGAATAATTACAAGATTAAAACTTTTATAGATTATTTAAACAAGGCAAATGCGTTAATTAACCTAATGGTGTACATATGTTTACCAGCCAGTTTAGACCAGTCATTTCATCCTCTCCGAGTATATAGTAAAGTTTTAGAATAAAGAATCTATTATTTACTTTTTCTCGTTCTCGTGGCTGTGTGCGCTGTCATCTGTGAAACCAGGCTGAAAGTAGTCTTTAATAGAAGGTAATGCAAAAACGCAGCTGTTTAGAAAGCGAAAACGAAAGCAAAAATTGACTCCCGGATATTTATGGAGATTTAGAAACACTGGTCAGATGAAGTCTCAAAATAGCACATCTCTGTGGGTTTGCAAAGCACGTGAGACTGTCTGTAGGAGTGTTGACTGGTCTCGCGCACACAGAACAAAACAGGTAAACGAGAGAAGGTTTTCTACTACCTAATCAATCCTGGATGTTTGGTTACATTAGGCGGATACTAAAAAAGTGTAACAGGATGTTAATAATAGCAGTTAATATACCTGGGCGGCCTCCCAAGTAAAGTCAATAAAGTCACTGCGACGTGTTAAATTGAATGTGATTTGATGTCACGCAAAGTTTTTCATCTCATGAATTTGACTGGTAACAGATGTTGAATTCTTTGCATTACAATTTTAGTTTTTTAGTTATCCATTAGGATTTTGCAAAACATTTTTGGTTGTTTTTTCTGTTTTTGATCAAATAAATGCACAAAGACTAAAACAAAACAACTGTATTGCAGTCACCAATTATTCACTAAACGTTAAATAGACAAAATGACATAGCTAAATACAAATGTCAACAATAATAACAAACATTCATTTCGACCTGACTTGGGACCTTTTGTTTTTGTATGTGCAATATTGCAATCTTTCATGGTTGAATTGCCTTCATGTGGTTTGGTGACAAACTAGCAGAAGAACTCTTTTTAGATACATTTTAGTGCTCAAGAAGCCCTCTGGTGTTTAGTATGCAGTATTTCAATAGGTGTATGTCAGGCGTAATGTTTTTATAAGTAGGGGTGTGTTTATATCATGCCTGATGTGAAGTTGTTGGGTTTTTTTTAACAAGAGGGTGTGTTTTGTGGCTGTTTTTGTACACTGTTGACTGTGCTTTAAGACCCAGGCTGTGCACGCAGGTTATCAGGCAAAAATGCATCTGTGCTTTGAGAGTCTCTTATGCTCTCTCTGATTTATGGTGGTCTGAACAGCTTTCCAGGAATCTGTTTTATCTGTTTGGCACAGCCTAGAGGCTCCATGCTGCTGTCAGGGACCACAGAGGGATAGGAGAAGAACATGAGAGTTTCAGACTCCAACTTTAAAGCTGTTTTAGTGCAGTTAGCTTCAGAGTCTCGCTTCCACATTCATGCATGCTTTAAACACTGGTTTTGCTTCTCTGATTCTGACAGGGACAGATTATATCATGTAAACATTGTAATGTTGCATCAAAATTTGCATTAGCAAAAGCATGTTATTTCTGTTTGATTACCGCGGATTATTTAAAGCACTATTTTATTCGAATGTTGTCTAGACAGTGCAGAGTATTAGATAAAGTTAACCAATCTATTTAGGCATTGCTTTAAGCTACTGTTGCAAGTAAAAGTAACAGCTTTTAAAATCTTGCCAACGGTTAATGTATTCATTTAAATCCGATAAAGGCTAATGTAATTAGAGAAATGGTGTTGCCAATGGTCACGATGCTTTCAAAGGAGACTTTGACCTTCAGACTGTATGCCTCATTCAAAATGTTTGTTTTCTTGACGAGGGGATTTGTCCTGTTTTTATGGGGCGAAAATCACATATTAATGGATAATCATTTTACAGCAGATGAAGTTGGATATTATAAACTATTTTGAGAGGTGTAAAGAAAAACAATGGTCCTAACGTGTTTACTGTTTTACATTTTAAATTTTTATAGCTTCAGAGAATCCAAAAAGAGCCACATATTAATAAATAATGTTATGACCGCTTTTTACAATAAGTTATGATTGAATTACCTCTTGTTACAGTTATGTAATAGTTTTGATAACAAGCAGGGCCAATAAACCAATGGCATGACCACATTGAAATGGTCTATACTAGTGTTTTGGTCTTGTGTGTTTCATAACCAGCAGTTATTCTAAAAATAATAATAATAATAATAATAGATGTGTGGTGATTCAACAACTACTGGAGATGGATAATGAATTCAGGGTCATGGTAATAATCTAGATGCATGCTGATAATTCATTAATATAAATTATATTATTCTTTGAACTTGAATTTAGGTTATTAACAAGATGGCCTTGACAAAACACCCATTGCAAAAAATGTTGATGGTCAGTACATCAAGTAAAAAATCTGACATAAATTTCCTCACGCTTCTCTTCTGTGCAACACAGAAGATACTTTGGGATTTATATTTGTGTTTTCTTCCATACAATGGGAATAATTTTTATAAGAAATAATTAGCCTTATGAACAAGAATTTTTAGCCAACTAAAAAACTTAAGGTGATAGATTGGTGTTTCTATATTTTCAATTTCATTAAGTATTTTTTGAACTGCAAAGACAGTTTAATCTAATCAAAATACTGTCAGTTAAATAGACCTACGCATTCATTCAGTTGTTCTAACGGAAAACAAGATGAAGACGTTTAAATGGATTCGCTGTGAGTAGTTGCAGCTAAGCACTCAAAGCCCATAGAGAATACTGTGGTAAAATAAGTGTTCATATTTTAAAGACATGGTGTTGCACAATTCAATTTAATGCAATGCTTTTTGACCCACTTTAAATAGTCTCAATAAGGCAGTAAATATCATTGATTTGGAAGAAATCAGATCTTATATACTGTGAGTTTATTATGGAAGCTCTCTCTACTGTTACCAACATTTGCCTTTAAAATATCTTTACGTTCTACAGAAGAAAGTCAGTCATACTGGTACAGTTAGTGATTGATAACAGAATGGGTGAACTATTGATTTTATTTTATTGAAACAGGTGAGTGTTTATGGAAAAAAAAAGTTTTGTATTTTAATTTGGTTAATAAAGCCGCATGATTCTGCATGAATGTAAATAAAATGTGGATTAAGACTCATTTCTGCAAGTCATCTAAAGATCACGATTCTTCTATAGTTCTAAACTGGCCAAAAATAATGTATTGTACAACTAAATAATAATTATGTAACCATTGTTAGAAACTCTGATGAATGCTTCAATGGCTCACTCATAAAGATTTTGGTCGTTTCATTACTGGATGAATCAGCATATTTGAACAAATCCCCTGAACTAATGATTCACTGACAGAATATTAATACAGTCTTCATCTAAATCATCAAAGTAATTTCTGATATTTGATTGCTTCCATAGACCACATGCAGCTTTTAAACGTTTATTATAGGGTTGCTCGATTTTAGAAAAAATCATAATCACAATTATATTGGTCATAATTGTAATCACGATTATTCAAAATGATTACTGTTGAAGTCAAAATTATCAGCGCTCCTGAGAATTGTTTTTTTAAATAAATATTTCCGTAATGATGTTTAACAGTATTTCCTATATTTTTTTCTTCTGGAGAAAGTCTTACTTGTTTTATTTTGACTAGAATAAAAGCAGGTTTAAATATTTTGAAACCTATTTTAGGGTCAATATTATTAGCCCCTTTAGGCAATATATATTTTTGATTGTCTGCAGAAGAAACTACTGTTACTGTACTGCCTTTGAATGCTTGTATTTTGAAAAATGTTTAGTCAAATGTTATGTGCTGTCATCATAGCAAAGGTAAAAGAAATCAGTTATTAGAAATTAGTTATTAAAACTGTTTAGAAATGTGTTGAAAAAAAACTTCTTTCCATTAAACAGAAATGGGGGAAAAGGGTTGCTGATATTCATAAGAGCTAATTATTCTGACTTGAATTGTATACCGTTATTTTCCTCCCTGCAAAAGAAAGAAAAATAAATACAATAGAATAAAAATATGAAACAATGTGCTTTAAGCATCTTCACTGTAAGAAAAACAGTTTAGCTACAAAAGTCCTTTAGTCAAGAGCAACGAGGGATTTTGTGTGTGTGTGTGTGTGTGTGTGTGTGTGTGTGTGTGTGTGTGTGTGTGTGTGTGTGTGTGTGTGTGTGTGTGTGTGTGTGTGTGTGTGTATGTATGCATTTAATGCCTTTATATATGCATTTAATGCTCAGCTGCATATCTTATCACATACTTCTGTCAAATTTTTTATTTCATTATTTTATGTATGACTTGAGCATCTGATTTTACCATAACTTTTTGTTCTCTGTCTCGCTCGTGGTTCATAAACCGCATGATGTTGACCTTATTAGGCTTTTAATAATCTTATTACATGTAGTATTGCAGTAATTTGCATGGCTATTTTATAGTTTATATAGCTATAAACTAAACGCCTCAGATTGGTGTGGAGTATCATTGTGCAAAAATCAAGTTTCTCTGTGCTTCACTCCCGTGCACATTCCATGACGAGTCTTTCACCCCACAAACACTCTGCCTGTGTCTGTTTGGCTGCGAACTAAGATATGCAGACAAAATTGCGGGTGCGAACTTAGAATTGTTCTCTTTAAGCTACATTATGACTTAAAATTAAAAAGTCTTTTTAGAATCTATTCGATTTGAATTCTGTGTGTGTTCGTTTGTTCAGGCTTAAATATCATGAATTAATTAGTTAATAG